ATCCCAGTCAAAACCAGTACAGATGGCAATTCTGTAAATGGATCTTTTTCCTCAGGTTGACAACAACCTCTTTTCAGGGCCTCTGTTCCATGTATACAGCAGAGTTATTTTTTACCCTTCCTCCAAATGAAAATACTGTCTTATTTTAAAAGTGTAACAGCTGAAAAAGGTAAGCGTCTCTTGAGCTGGTCTGGGGACAAAATGAATGAGCAGGTTCCAGGCAGCCATAGGAGATTTTTTAAAGTCTCTTGAGAAATTCTGTCTTAGTGAAGTGGTGCATTGCAGAGAATCAGCTGCGAATCGTGGCTTTGTCTCAACAGTTTACTTACTGGCTTCATAGAGTTTATGCAGCAGGTGTTATTAGCACTCCTCTGTAATAGTCACTTTAGGGTGTTTGTCATCAATCTTAATAATGCCATCAGCATTCCAGCAGATGGTAGACATGATTCCATGCACTCCCTGCTTCTGAATTGCACCAGAATGGATTTCCATCATATTTTTAATTACAAATGAGAAATATATCAGAAACAGACTCGTCTCATGCTGTCATTTCCAAAGGCTTTTTCCAGGCAGGCCAGGACTATGTTGCTTTAACTTTATTTTTTTTTTTTTTTGTATTTCACTGAGATTGAGTGATTCACAGATGTTATCGGCTCGTTCAGAACTAGAATTAACCTCAAATCATTCTTGTGTACTATCCAGTGAAGCAGTCTCTTGTTTTGAATTGGAATTTGAGATGCCAGCTTTTTGTAGGCAATCGTAAATGTTAGGAGCCAGTCCAGCAAAGCGCTTAGACATGAAGTATAATTTGAATTACTGTTGAGTACAATTATTTCAATAGCAACCCCGAAATATTTAAAGTTACAATCACAATAAAATTCATTGATGGGTCAATACATTATGTAATTATTTTTAAAGCAACAGACTTGATTTCTAAACACTTATCCTACTGCACTACTCGTTATCTACCTCATCATCCACTTATGGTTTTATTATTTTCCTTTCAACTTACAATTTTACCCTTTCACTTTGGACCTATTCTTCCTACTCCTTTCTGTCACTTCTTACACATGCACTTTTAGTGGAGACCATAAATAAAACTAAGCTAGGTGGTAGTTAGCTTTCCTTTAGGTAGCACATGTAACAAAAGCAATTAAGACATGATGGGATGGGGATGAGTGCATTTTTTGAATACACTTAAAGATGTCCTTTAAAAAAAGATTAAATACTTTGAACATTAATAGTAGCTTTGGGCATCTATTTAATATACTGATTGCAAATTCCTCTTCCAATACAAGGTAGTTCAATGCATGCAGAAAAGGTAGCAGTAATTTGGTAAATAGTTTTCCTCTATTTAAAACTTTATGTGTTCTGCCTTACTGACTTTTAGATTAGTGCAGGACTGGATAGCAAGTGGAAAATCTACTATCTAAATGAAGCATAGTCACTCAGTAGGCCACTGAAATTAGAATCTTTATCATTGGCATTTCTAAATGTAATGACGGCATATTCCCTGAAATTTGGCACTCCAGAGCTTTATTCTTTTCATCATGTCTAGAGTATGAGATCAGAACATAAAAATAGCTTCTTGTGTCACCTTTTTCTGAGAAGCCCATTCAAAAATAGAATATAATATCAGAGCCAGTACGTAAAACTGAATTAATTACATGACAGACGGCTATTTAAATATAGACAGATTTCAACAAATTATGTCCAAGAGAAAATAGAATAAATGCTGTTAAACAGAGTGCTCCACACAACAGTCTATGTCCCAACTGAATACCTGCTCCCATCAAGAACACACATATAGTTACAAAAGCTTGACAAGATCTGAGCCCTGTATCAATCCAAAAGAAAAAAAAAAAAAAAAATTATTCTAGTTTTCATTTGGAAACTTTTGCAAGAGTTGCATATATTAGCCTCTAATTAAACACCTCTTGGCACTACCTCTGTGTTTTTTCGATAAGTGGCATTTATGTTAATTCTATCATTAAGCAGATGTCTTTGCCAATCACTGTCATTAGGTTATCTGGGTAGATGCCCCAATAAAACAGTATGCAAATTAAATTGATCCCGATTAAAAGGAGTTTATGATAATTGTAACACCTTCCAATAACTTTTTTCACAGTAGGAAATACATTTTCTGAGAATAAATCTGAGCTCTAGCACTTCAGCTGGATCAACAGGGCAAGAAAATCACCCTTCAGAAGCCCCACTAAAACCAGGATGCTGTTTGCAAAATGGGTCTAGGGCAGGTGGAGACTATCATGGGGAGGGCACTGTGATAGTGGAAGGGAGGAACAGAAGAGAACACAAATGGTCACAGAACTGATTTGTTCAGAGCAAAAAGTTGTGCACAGTGCTAAGCATGCAGTTCCTCTGCCCCAGATCATCATCACTGTATATCAGAACAGCACCATCCTCACAGAGACCATTAAATGCACCATTCACCTCTACAGGGATTCAGCATATCAGAGATTTAAAGAATATGGATTACTGTGAAACATTGTGGTAAAAGCAAAAACTAGCTATGAAAATAGGAATTTAATTAGAAATGACTACAAGAAAATTAAAGTATTTAAAATTATAGATTCACTACAGTGTAAGTATATTTTGTGGACAAATACATCAGCAGACCCCCAAAATGTCTGTGTAACTATAGAGGAAAATATAGTTCTTATTTTCTGGGTACAATATTACAAGCAGCAGTAAACAGAAATCAAAAGACAAATTAACGAAGAGATTTGCAACAATAAACAGCAGTCTCAAAAACTACTTAATAGGAAACTATAATAAATTGCATTCAGTCACCTGTAACAAAATGCTTCACGGTACTAGGATGACAAATAAATACCATGGCATAAAACTGAAAAGAGTATTCCTAGAACTGTTAATTGACACTGCACTGAAATCTCCAAAACACAAAAATGCCAAATAAAAAACCCACTGCAGTCCTGAAAATGGGAATACCGTTTGCTACAAAACAAAGCCTAAGATTTAGACAAGTTCGCAGGTGGAAAAATAAAAAACATTATAGACAAATGGTAATATTTTATGTCTAATCAATTTGTATTATCCCAGATTTCCAGTTCTATTTGACACGTTTTTCTGAACACAGGAGAATAAACTGAATGAAAATACCTTCTGCCAGAGTGGCCAATGTCTCAGAGATCTATCCATAAAAGCATTTTCATAAATCTCTTAAGTAGGGCCAATATTCCTGTAATATATAATAAAAATGGTCAAAAAAGATACATTAATTTTTTTTTTTTAAATCCTATTAAAATAAATGTCCAAAATACTAACTTATATAAATTTTATACATAATGGAGTTGCTACTGCAGAGATACAATTTTTAAAAAAAATTATAGAAATATGCTATAAATTAATAAAATTAATAGAGTTAAGAAAAATGCAAATCAAATTTATATTGGTCCTGAGCTTGTAAGAATAAGAACAAGAAACAGTAAATTTTGAAGTTTTTTAGTCGTTACTGGTAACTACAGAAGGATGTAGTAGGAATAAAAAGAAACCTAGATGAGTTTGTTCTCAAAGATGCCAGTGGTAGTTGAAAACACAGTATATTTTGAGTTTTCCATTTTGTTCTACTACTGCAGAAGCTAGAATATCATTAAAGTGATTCTCTGGCATTGACTGCTGAAAGCACATGCAATGCTGTGGCAATATGATCCTGGGGCAGTTCTCATTTATGCCAGGTACTGGCTGATTGCAAACTGGAGATGTAGGAGACAGACGTGTTCAGCCTAATCTAACAACATGCACAGCTGAATGTTTTTTATTTCTGCTCTCCCTCCCGTAACCTTCTTTTCTCCTCTGCACAGCCATTTCTGCATCACAGATTGCCTGTACCAGCTTTCAGACATAATGGTCAGCTCTGCAGCTAGTTTAAACCAAGATATCATAACTAATACTGAGTTGTAATTGTAACTGATAACCAACGCTGAAGAAGGGTACAAAATGAGTAGCAGTTTGAAGTCATAGCCCTTCCCACACAAAATACCCTATTCATTTCAGCCACCTGCTGCCTCCTGATACTCTCAGCACCTAAGTATCTCATTCCTCTCGGCATACCTATGTTCTGGCCACGCTCTCTTTCCTACCTGTGCTGCAACTGCCCACCTGCATTGCATGCCTGCACGGTAACCCAGCCTGGGCACAGAGCTTATCTTACTGGCACTGTGCCACCGTGTCATTTCTGAGTGGGATGTACAACCTGAAAGCATCTGACAGACGAGTGAGGAAGGGTACAAGGAAGTGTTATGGGGCAGAAAGATAGCTACCTTCTTTGCTCCAGAAATCTTTCTCTTGTTCTTACCCTTCAAAAATACTTTCCATAATAGCCAAGGAAAATATGCTGGTAACTGTAAAAGCAATTAGAGAATAATTCAAATGAGTTTTAAACCAATTACCTCCTGTAAACCTGATACATAAGACAGCAAACTCCAGACTATTGGTTAAGATCCCCTATACCACCTTTAAATCTAAACACGTTTAGGTTTTCCCATGTGTTGCTTGTACCTCCTGGCCTAACTTCTAAAATTATCCACTGTATTCAAGATTACCTTTCAAGTTCAATTCCATATAAGCAGTAGCAGCACTGCTCTTTCAGAGGAGGGGCAGAGGGGAGAGACTGATGTGACAAGATAACTGATGATTGGTGATAACATAGGCATTTTTTGTGAAAAAAGGGGTTTACAATACTATGGTAATAAAACATCTTTAGCCTCTGGTCTAATCAGTCATTTGTTTCAATGCTGACACATCATGCAAAAATCTTCCAACTGATCTTAAGCAAAAGCTACCGTAACTCACAGAAGTAGATAGATTGTTATAAAATTACGAGTTTCCATAGGACATAACCTATTGTACATGTACTGGAAGAAATATTCTTGTGAAGAATGACTACAAGTCAAGAATTTAAGTACAATACATGTTTAAGATAAAATCTAACAGCAGCTATGAGAAAAGTGTAAATAAAGATGGGTGAAGCACAATTGTCCTTGATTGCTAATGATACACTCATTTTAAAAGTATATTTCCAATGCTTGTTCACTGTTAGTTTCATGAAAATCAAGGTGAATACATTAATCGGTTATATGTTACTGGGAAAATGGCTTTTACGTTATTTTATATTATTTTCTTTGTAAGAGTTCTATTTGAGGATACATTGAGTTGCATTGCATTTGAAAATATTTTCTTTTTTTTATAATAGTTACTGGAAAATACTCTCCAGTCTAGGATAATCAATTCAGGGGTCAAATTTTGCTGCTTCTTACACCCCATGCATAACATCTAAATCTAAAAGCAGTTAGGAGTTACTTCAATGGGATCATATACAAGGGTAGCATTAAATTGGTATACAATAATAAAGCTGTCTGCAAACAATAAAAAGGAAGTAGTCTAATGAAGGCAGTACATTTTGAAAATGTATGCTATTTAAGCATGTATTATATACTGTATACTATATAAATGTATGCACTAGCAAATAAATTCTGCAGAATCCTCCTGGAGAGATTTATGCAGTCACCAGACCAACTCCCTTTTTGGGTAATGCCACCTCTTTTACAGGGACAGTGGCAATAGACACGCAGTGGACCTTTCCTGTTATTCCCTTGCAAAAAAAGCATATTTTTTGCTATTCCAGCCGCTTCAGTTATTTACCTAATATAACAGCTGTAGCTGAGATTTTATAGTCGTTGTGTCCAACTCCATACCAAGTAGCGTATTGCATGGAAGGAAGGAGAAGCACCTCAAAACCACCAGCTTCAACACATTAAAGCCTTGCTTAGCAATAATTTACTCATTTTGCCTTGAAGGGCTGAGGCCACAGTGTGATGATGAGTTACTAATGAAATTGTGTAAACTATCTGTATGGAACATTGACTCACTATTGTGATAAGCTAAATTCAGTTGATAGGTCACAGCAGAATTAAAAATTAAATTTCTGAAATAAAAATGCCCATGTACATCTGGTCTTCAAGCCATTAGTTGTTGTTTTTACATATTCTTACATACCAATGAGTGAAATTAATAAAATTCCCGCTGTCCACTTTTCTATGTACAAATATTGTTTAAATGAGCAACTGGTGTCTTTTATTGCGATACTTACCACCACCACCACTCTTCTCTTAAGGAAGAAACCACTGCAAGAAATGGCAAAAGAAAACTTCCAAGCATCACTCTGTTGAATGATAAACTGGGCAGCACACATGAGTCTGCAACCTGCAGTGCTACAGAAGCTTACTCTATGGCATTCTGGAGAACACATCCCTCAGAATAGCACCCCTTTCTAATATTCTGCCTCTTCATACACCCTGCTCCCCCCCAAATCTGTATCTGTTTCCTACCAAAAGCTTTTAGCACACATCCTCTTGATGTCTTCTAACAGGAAACAGAAAGTGAGAGTTCGCTTTCATCAACATTGAAGAGTCAGTCTGGGACCCATTCTGTCAGTCCTCTGGAGTCTAGCGTGAAAAGAGGGAGAGCAATCTTTGAAAAGATGTCATCAGAAAATGGCAAAAGTAACAGCTCTGAAGGTTAGTATTACCACATTGATCTGATGTCTCGTTTTACTCTAAGGCAGCAGTCTCCAGAAATTTCTGATGGTGCATCCCTATCATTAAAACATTTTTGTGCATGCACTCCCAATGTTTTTATATATATTTATTTACAATTTGTATATATGTGCTACTTTACTAATACATTATGTACATTGGGCAACATAAACATAAAGAGATATTAAAGAAGGATGATGGATGAAATATTAATAATAATTAAAAATCCTTTAAAAACTGTTTATTTGCAAAAAATATTTTCTTCCTTCACTACAACAAGATTTTCTTGCACAGCCCCTGGGATGCACACATCCCACTTTGGAGACCACTGCTTGATGGTATCAGAGACTGTATGTATCTGTGTTTTGGTTTGTTTTAACAGGGACAGAACATGAATGATACATTTTTTTGACAGAAAATTGCTTATTGACTTATGAGTGTCTAGGACTTCACGTAAAACAAGAGATTATTCAAATAAAAAGCGTGGAAAGACTTGTCCACTCTGCCAATAAAATTAATAAGCCATTTACACAGTGTCAACAAATGAATAACTCCACTCTTTTTTTGATCAGAAAATGTTTAGCTTGCATGTTTAGCAATTCCAGACTCTAGAAGATCAAAGGCAAAAGGAAATTTCAGTGCGCAAGACCTTTTCTAGCTAATGCTGCTATCATGCCCATTGTTTAAACTAAATACCCGGTCTTTTATCAGATTTAACTTTCAGCCATTGGTTATCTTTTTTCCTCTTTTTCCTGCCAAATCAGAGATATCTTTAACACCTGCTCACTTCTTCTCAGAAGGATGATTGTACATTATGACCATATCATCCCATGACCTTCTCTTCCATCAATTAGATACAGCTGGAGTTCTCCATGTAGGGCTGTTTTTTTATGGCTCTTCTCTACATCTTCTCAAGTCTTTCAGGTATCATTTTTATAATATGGTTGTAAGAAACTTTTTTTTTTCCTTTTCCTTTTAGACTCTCCTAGTTCAAATCCTTTCTTTTTCCTCTCTAACAAGAGAATCGAATCCTCCATTCCATACCCGCTTTGCCTCTGAGTCTAAATTGAGCACAGTATGTTTCAGAAGCATTTTTTGGTCCACCAGGAATAACAAAGAATATGAACTATGTAAAAATGCACAGTCAACATTTCATACCTCTTATAAATGAAGCTTTTTCTAAAAATGTGACAGACCCATAGGGGATAATGGTTTTCTATGCTCCTGTGAGAGCCATAATACCCCATTTTGCATTCAGACAGTCTTATGAGAAGTAAATTCCCTATAGACTCATTTGAGTGTTTGAAAGCACTGGTGAAAACTCTTAAACTTCTAATAGCTGAAGTTAGGCATTGAAAACTGCAATCTTGCACTTCAATAAATATTCAGGTCCTGAAAAATATAAGATAATGCTGATTCATAGATTATTTCTCCCATCAGCATGAGATCTGAGTTTTCTATAATCAATGACAATATACGTCAACTTGCTTCAATTTTTCATCAAGAACAATACCCTCAAACTACTAAAGTGCTATGGAACTTTTTGCTAAATGTTTCAATTATGCCAAAATCTTATTTTCCTAGAAGAGATATTGAACAGCATTTACAGCAAGCTCTATGACTGAGTACCAACAACTTCTATTGTCTTCACTGAAAAACAATGAATGCAATACTCATACTGCTGTTCAACCTATCATGAAAATATGGAAAAGCCCATAAGGGATAGCTAATGTAGTCCCATCATTGGAAAAAATGGCAGAAAGCCAAAATTCTCCAGTCCTATTATGCACAGAAGATTTATCAATCTCTGTTTGCTTTATAGAATTGATGTAACTTATTAACAAAATAATTAAATTATCTGAAATAGATACAATTGTGTGAGTCTCATATGACAAAGGCGAACAGATTTTTGTTGGCATACCTCACCTTGGTAAATATAAGGCTCTTCTTACAAACCCCTTCATCACAAGCACACATTTAACCCTGAAAGAATTGTCAGATACTACACCTTTAAGTTCTCATATAATATACGATCATGTAATCTCTCATACCACCACAAAGAGTTTCACATTATGTTATAAAACAACTAGATTCTGAAGAGAGGGCATTTTCTGTTTTAAGGCTAACAAGAGAATAGTTTCTATTACCTTCACTCCCCATGTGGCTAATAATATGTATCTATTAAAATGTTTTTTAAAACAGTCCATTAAATTCATTGGCCCCAAATCAGCAAGGAATTAAATCACATGTCTAACTTTAAGCACAGGAGTATTCCCATTATGCTTAATGAAACTATTCACATGCTTATGATTAGGAAGAATCCAAGAATCCCTTGGTGAATCAAAGCAATACAAGAAAGTTTTTAAACTCCCAAACATTCTTGAGAATTAAAGCAATGGCTTATAAATATCATACTGGTAGTACTCTGCTACATGATTCAATCTGCGTTTAAAAATTAATTGACACTGTTTGGCTACAGTGGACTATTCCTCTGTGTTGCCAAAGCACACTTTCAACCTTTTAATTGTTTTGGTTAGATTTGGTTTAATGTACAGACTTCTTACTTTAAAAACAGCAATCTTCTTTCTCTTCTGATTTCTACTTTCTCTGAAAGCCATTTTTTTTTCCTTCCAGCTGACTTTCACTGATTTTTACTGCTGCTATTCTTTCTTGAACTGTAGCAATTCTTTTGTCTATGGTGATTACCTGCAATACACAAATGTACTGCATGGGATAAGCGTAATAAAAAAGAAAATTATCCTCAGGTAAGCTATGAGTAGAGTCAGGTAAAAATACTAAGAAATGGAGTATTTTTACACTGAGACCACTCTTCCATGCATGTCTGCATCTATGTCTGATTTTTACTGAAGATTAATGTTACTTGTTATATTTGCTTGCTATATCTGGTCCTTTAACACCTATGCCAGCTAAACAGTTTTACAGTCAAGAGGCAGAAAGGCCAGATGTGCCTTGGTATTCTTCCCTGCTTTGTGGGTTACCCCTTCCCTGGCACTCTGTTCTAAGCCAGGTGAACAGATAGCTTTTTGGAAAGTCTTTTTTGTTGCTTCATTTCATAAGGTTAAAGGGAAGAGTGGGTAATTCAAAAGAAAAGTGGAAATTTTTTTATCTGTACCTTTTGTGTTCTCAGCTACTGCCTTAGTAAAACAACACAATAATCAAAAATGAACCAACCTAGGCAAGAAGAAATGTGATTGACTAGGCACATGTTTTGAAATGCATATATGTATGCATATGCATATGTATAACAGGGCATATTACAGTTAGGCTTCCAGAACAGAGTTGACTCTGGCAAGTGCTATACAGGCCTCAGGCCCTAAAACCATCCACCAAGTTCCACCTTATACACGTGGGGATAAACCAAAATCAGCTGTGCTCCTCTGCTTGCTCCAGGAAGGGATTCAGTGGAGCTGGTCTCCACTGGGTGGTATATTTCAGGAGACTGGGAAATTTATCTTAAATATCAGCAACAAAAATTTCTTAGGATAATATTTTGAAGTTTTTTTTCTTTCTAAAGAGAAGACCAATTCTGTAAATGGTATTGGTTTGCACTGAATGGCAGAAAAGGTAGATGCACTCTAGTATGTACTTTGTGTATTACATGTACTTTATGAGTTAGCCAACACTGTACAAAGAGAAGTTACTAGTTTTTTAGCAAAATTATGGTAATTGACTTGATTTGCTTAATTTAGTAAGTCTGCAAATCATCAGCAAGATGAAAAAGCATAAATGAATTTTACACAGTAAACATAAATATTAAAAAAAAAAGAAAAAAAAAAAAAAAACAAACAACCAAAACCAGACCTATGCTGCATCAAAGTGACAAAACACACTCAGAATGAGGGTGTCAGTGGTGCCAGAATATATAAGAATACAAGTAAACTGCCAATGGCTAGCAGAAAACACACATTTGAAGCTTCCTCTTTGACTTTACTTTCCTGTTTGGAAATGGATTTTAAGGTTTTAGTTTGGGGGCCTACTAGCTTGAATTAAACATATAGAACAGGAGGACATACCTACACTCTTTCTTTCTGCCCCCCTTCTCTCCTTAAGTCAGTAATTTCCTCAAGTTTGAGAAATTCCAAGATACATCATGCTGGAAGCAAGGTGGTTTTTGGTGGGGTTCTTTGAGACAATTTGGTTCAGCTACAACCTGTTTCTGTAATTTCAGAAAATACAATTGCTTAAAAGAAAAGCAATGCAGGTTGAAACAAATTTATTTTGTCCTATTATTCAAGGACAAGGATGGAATTAGGGAAGATCAGGGTGCTCTGATATCTGCAGCACAAGCACAAGGATTAAAAAATTAGATTCTGGTGGCTTTAGTAAAAATGTATCTTCCTGAACTCTTAAAATTCCCTCCCCCTCCCAAAAAGGAAGGGAGTGTCCTGGTTACAGAAATCCAGTGTCATTCAACCCAACTTTCCATGTACTGTTGAAAAACCTTAGCAGGACAAAAGGAGCTTCCAGACTGTGAGATTATATGAAATCTCTTCTGCCTCTGATCACATTCAAGAGAGATGCTCACAACATGCTTTTTTTTGTTCCCTTTGTCTGAAACAAGAAGGAAAAATATCTTTACACTAAATTTAAGGCACTTTTCTGTGTATATGGAATTCTTCTAATATAATCATACGAATGTAGAAAATAGCAACAAAAAAACCTCCTAGTGCTAGTAACTCAGTGCTGCACTTTCAAAAATACTCTGAACTGTTGTCTCCACATTCACTGTGGCTAAATTGCAGGTGCTTATAGATAAGCCTATAACCTTCACACCTTGAAATAAGATTAAAATGTAGTTAGTAATTTAGACAATTTTCAATAAGGTTTTAGTAGTACTAAACCAACTAAAACATACTCTATATGCACTATATGCAATATCAGTAAACAACTGAAATCTACAATTAACTCAGAATGGACTCTGTTAAGCAAATGTATACTATAGTGTATAAAGCTAATTAGAACATAATATATCTAATTATAATAGGTTACTTGTAGTACTTACAATTGCTTTTTACAGTATAAATTCAAATGTAACACTATCAAGAAAAAGACGCTATGCTTGCTGTTAAAATTGTATGTTTGGGTTTTTTTTAAAAAAAAAAGCTTTTTGTTATTTCCCCAAGGAATTTCCCTCAGTTTCAAAGACTTAATTGAATTAAATTTTTTCATACTCAATAAGTTCTAAATTGAAAATAAGATACAATTGCTAAAAAGCCAATAATACTGCTCCTTCCTACTACTGTTTTTCTTTCAAGTTTTCGAAAAAAAGTACCTGCTTCCTTCTTAGAAAATATGTTGTCTGTTTGTACTTACAGTGGGTTCTCGCAAATCTGTAAGAAGACTACCTAAAGAGAGCACTCCCAGGGCTGATAACACACCACTGGATTTCCAGGAGATTGTCTCCTTGAAAGAAAGAATGGCTATGTACAAGGCTGCTGTGTCCAAGAGAGAGGGTATCAACGCCTTTGCTCATGTAAGACATCAGTGGTTCCTGATCTTCTTAGCTCTGTGTTTGATTTGCATGACATATCCTACAGTCTTTATTTATACAAGATGACTGATGGACCACTATGGAGATCAAAATTTGGAACTAAATTATCAAATATACTTAGGAAACATATTGATGCATCAGTCTCTGTCTCTACTGAATGAGATTTTTCATGCTATATACCTCTGGTCATTTGGACAATTCCTTTTAATTCACTGGGAGGACTGTTCTTTTTATTCCACTGTTGCATGAACTGCATTTATTAGGACCATAGGCTTGAGACAGATTACCAACACAGTTATTCTTTCAGCTCATGACAAACCCAGTGGTTTCTGCATTAATAAAAATATTACCAAATAATAAAATCATCTTCAAAAGCACTTTAAGTTTTCTTGCTGCTCAAACTAAAGAATTCAAAATTGCTGCATTTAAAAATAACAGCTCTATAAGATGTATGAAAAAATATTGTTTTATAATAAAATAATTAAAAAATAGGCATTATATGAAAATTATTTAGACAAAAATCTTTTAAATTTTGTTTTACTCATCTCTCTACATGTCTGTCAACAGGGATTAGGCATTTTACAGCAAAGTTTAATATTAATACCAAGAAGCACATAAAGTATTTGTCTACTAGAATTTATAATCTATTAAAATGGAGCAAGACCACTTCATCACACATTTAATTATCAGTCAGAAATATCTGAATATCAGGTCCAGATCTCAGCCACGAAAATCAGGAAAATCTACCTCAGTTCTGCAGAAATACTAAGGGGTAAAAAGTGTATTTTTACCATATCTTAAAATTGTACCTAGAAGTTGTAACGCAACCCTCTTGTATCAAGAAATGGAGGCATTATGCTGGCTTGCTACAATGTTAGAATGACAATGATCTTTGTTTATACTAAACTTTCAGCACATCGGAAGAACACCTTTTCCTAACTGTAAACTAGGCTAAAGTAATTTCTGTAAATCAGAAAGCGTGTCTGGCAAAAGAAGGACTACAATTCAGCTCTCACCAGTCGGCATCTTTGTCCACATGCAAGAAGAGCTGTAGAAGGATTCCCACTTTGTTCTTGGGAGAAGCGGTCTGCAGCAGTTGAAGGGACCTTCTGGGTGCTTACGTAGCCCAGAAGCCACACAGTGAAAATAGCCACCAGCCACACTCACCAGTGTCCGGGTGTTTTCCAACCACCAAATTCCTGCTGGCTGACTTCCTTATTTCCTTATTGCCTGTGTGTATTTGGAGCAGATTCCTGCAGTTCACCTGGCTGAGAAGGTTCCAATTCTCTACTCCTGCAATTGGAAACACTACTGAAGTTAGTACTCTCTTTCAAAAAGAAAGGAAAATAACTCCTTGAAGCCTGACCCAACCTAACTGTGTTGAGCACATAGGAACTACTTCATTTACACTCTGGAACCCATTGCAATTTCTTGCTGAAATGGATGGTTGCCTGAAAAAAGAACTGTGTATCTGGTTCCATTAAAGGGAATTAATACAATTCGTTAAAGAACCCGTAACTTCATTTACCCTCTCTAAATATCTCCAAATGGCTGGCAAGGTGTGCCTGAAATGTTCATTCACTAAAATAGTTACTTTTCACATCACACATCTGTGTACATACAAAACTGTGCCACCTTCACCACAGGATAAAAAAGAATTTGTTTTTTTATGATCTGCTTCCTCATTCATCAGGTATAAGCACTAAACCTAAATTTACTTAGTAACCTTCATTACAAGGCTGTTTCTAATTACTGGTGGTTTATCTTCTGCATACTAACTAATAAGCTCAAATGCTGAAAACTTCATTCTCGTACCATATAAGAAGTAACACATAAGGGACAGAACTAAAACAGGGAGCCTGAGGGCAAGGGCACTCTTGTGATCTTTAGCAAGCACTGTTGTTAGTGAAGAAAGATCATCTCACAAAGGCCTGTTTGAAGCTTTCTGCATGTTTTTCAACAATACCTATTGAAACAATACAGACAGAGCCAGGTGGCAACTATAAGTGCAACAGAACTCAGAATAGACAAGTAGAAGAGGGAACAGCAGAGTATGATTGTTCTGGAAAATTATTGCTACTGAGAATCAAGTAGATGGGACCTACTCCTTTTGGTGCTAAATATTCTGGCTAAACACACACGTTTTTCAAATATACATTGGCCTTAGTTCTCCAAACCACAATGTATGGCTCCTGTGCAGTGGACTTGCCAGAAATAGTATTTATGATTGTCTGAGTCATTCCTGCAAAGACAGAGTATTACATGGCTGATCCCTAAAACTACAAACTACTGAGTCCTCAGACACTAGTTTAGGCAGAGATTAACATGCAGCTACACCAGTGGGATCTATTTCACATAGGAGCATTTAGCAGCTATTGTTAAATAAATTCTAGATTGAAAAATTCCAGAAGAACTTAAAAATTTCCAGGTCCTAATTTTTGGTTGACAAGCAAAACTCCTAAAATGGGCCAATGAGATCCAACAGTTGAAGTTAACATTACACATATGTTTTGTATTTTGATGACAACATTGGAAAAATAACTGTCTTATTACGGTATCTATTCTGAATGCTAATGTTAATTCATATGTACTGTCAAAATAAGTAGGGTTTACAGATTACATCAGTGGAAGTTGCCTAGAAGAGGCTATAGACATGACCGAGTGTTTCCAAATTTTCCATTTGAAATTTATAAGCATTATAGCATACTGTTATTAACTACTTTTTAAAAAATGAACTCATAGAAGTACGTTCTTTGTGCAAATAGAAAACAACTGGCCTTATTTTATCACCCTAGACTTCAGAGAAAACCAAGTTCTGTACTGTGCCTGGTGGCCTGGCAGCAATGAAGAAACAATTTGAGAAAGTGAAGATGACCTCTTCACGAAAGACCTTTGCTCAGTACAAGCACCAGCACAAATCTGTACAGGTAAGAACAGCATTTTTAATACTAACAAATGAGGTATGCCCTGCTAGATAGCTTGAGGAAAAAGTATGATTGTTTGCTTTACTGCAGAGTTTCCATTATGACTAAGACAACATTTCCCTAATGTTCATACTCACAGAATTTTCTCTTTGAGATACACTACAGGAATCAAATAATATTTTATGCAGATGAACACTCAATATAGGCAATACTAGACTTAGAGCAAATAGATGAGTAAAGCATATTACTAACATAGCAGTATTTTATGCTGAACCTTGTCTGTAAGACTGTAATTCATTATGAAGTATCATGGTCATATTTTGCATTTATTGCACTTGATGTGATGTTAAAGCATTCTCTTACAAAAGGAATTTCCTGCTTCCATTCACTTGAATCCCATAGTTGGAAATAATCATACTGGAGCATAATCCTTGGTAATAGGAAGTATGCACATACTTTTCTGATGACGTGGTCCAATTTAGCTGCCATTTATCTGGATGAAGAAATGCAGAACCATGTACAGAAATTATGTGACTTTTTCTCTTACCCAGAAGCAAGTAATTTAATTTCTGTGATGTGAAGGTGCATTTTCCCTGGCCTAACAGTGATGTTTAGTTCTTCATAAAGCCACTATGATGATTGCATTTCTTCAACAAAGATGTGACCTCTAAGCATACTTATCCATGTATTTGTCCTCTGTGGCTAGTTGAGGAGGCGCTCTCAAGTCATCAGCAGAAATAGTCACGTTCACAGGAAATAAAATCACTCAGACTATATGGAACAATCTTTAAATTTAGGTTAAATAACTTGCTGCAAGACCATAAAATCCCATTTCTATCTAACATAACTGCACTCTCATGGAAAATGGGATTATACACTTAGGTAGCTGAAAGATTATTCAAGGTCACTGAATCAATTCCAGGGCAAAACAGAGAAATGATTTAGTTTAAAAACAGATCTCCAGATCTGGATAAATTCAAACTATTAATCCAAGCTAAAATAAAGAAGCAATTATATTTTTAATCTAAATAGCTGAACTTTTTACTACATATTCAATTATTGCATAAGGAGTGCATGGGTTTTCATTCAAAATATTGACATCAAATATGCAAATAACTATCTATATTTCTGTTTTTCTCAGGCAGCAGCCATCACTCATAGCTCTCTTCAATGTAAGGGAGATTAGTTCCCTGTGAAAGGTTCCATATTACCAGTAGGATGCACTAAACTGTTGTCCAAAATGGTGAGCAGCAACGAAAACTGATCACAGAATTGCTGTGTGCTCACAAACTCAACCAGAGTTTGTTTAGAGACCTGGTCTTTAACTGACCACTGGCATCATGAGCACCTTTTATCATCAGCCACCAAGCTGATGAGCTTCAGTGTTACTGTTCTGCAGACGCCAGCCTGGAGTAGTTTGCTACACCAGTTCAGACAGCTAGCTGCTCAAAGTCTCACTATCCAGTGTCAGAAACAAGCCATTTCTGGCAAGTGATCTGAACCTCCTACTTAGGAAGGATGAGTGGAATATACTGAAAGTATCTGATATTCACTCAACTGTAAAGTATCGTGTGTCAGAAATAACACAGGCGTAGCTACACCTCCTTCACTGAGGGTCATTCCAAACAAACTTTCTAAGATTTCTAGTGTAGCAATTACCAATTTTCTAGCAATTGCAGAGGATAAGATTGAATAATGGGATGTTAGTGAATGGTGAAAACTTTCGTTTTCTATGAAAATCTTTCATCAGTGCCCAAAACATCCTAAGCATATATGTACAACTAAGCAAAGCTGATAAATCATAGAGATGAAGTTCAGATAAGTGAAGTTCTTATAAGAAATTTCTGCAAGACTCTCACAGTACTGATGCTAAGATGATACCATGATAAGAAAATAAATAGGTAAAAAAACATAGCTTTGAGGAAGAAATGAAGATCCACACCAAGTAAATCGTAAGTCAGTCATTCTATCATTACTGATTTTGTAACTGAAGCTCACAATTTACTTCCACTGCTGCCCAAAGGGAACTGCAAGTTTGTACATACTGATCATTTAGAACAGTAAGTTCTAAATCTGCCAGTACATAAATGATATAATATTAGCCAGCTTCCCACAGAGCTTTTATGATGACCATAATGTACAGTTCAACTAAAAGCAATATGCTTCAAATGTGAGTAAGTAAAAGGCTTTCTTGTGCCTGGACAAGCTTTTGGGCCATTTGATCCCCTTGAACAATACATACATACATACATAGGATTGTATACATGTTTTATGTACATATGCATATAACATAGCACACATATTCTAAGTCTCAAAGCAATTTTATTTTTGAAAGGGAAAGTATGTTTTTTCTGTTGTCAGAACAGAAAGATACTGCAAAAATGTCAACACAAAAAAGCAAACCTTGGTCTAAAATACACAGAACAGTTACTGAAAATTCAAATCTTGGCAATAAGAATTCTATCTAACTTATTGCAGCACAGAGGCTCTAAAATTGATGTATGGGCCACTAACATATAAAACGTGTAGCAATTACAGTTCTTCTCAGTAACAGAATGCCTACATAAAAATGCACTCCTCTAACAAAACATATGCAGACTTACTCTCAGTTTTACATCATTATTTTTTCAATAGTATTGTTTTAGGTTAGAATGACTTTTTACTCAGACCGCAACAGGACACTATAGCCCTCTATATTGAATACCATACAGATATACATGGGAAAGACAGAAGCCACCATAAAAGGTGACTTGAAACAAACAGAAGAGAATGGAGGGCAATGGAAGTCTGAAATAAAAATAAAATGACTGTAAGAAACTGTTCGTGAGCTAGCAGCATGGCAACAATCATCCAGCTGACAGTCTCTTCTGAAGCTCACTCATGATATGGCATAGAATAAACAAAAAGTAATTGAAAGGTGGTTCATGGGCTGTGGGAAAACCAACTGTAATAGTTGTCTTTTCACTCCTGCCACCAAAAACGACTTTGAGTTCTTTGTCTGTCCTCATCCCCTGCACAGCTGGAAGGGAGCTGTTTCCTCCTGACACCATGATGCAGGATCTGGTTGATTAAACAACCTTGCTTGGTTTAATAACACACAGTACAGCAGGAATTATGTATTCTACAGAAATAAAGGGATCAAGTTCCTGCAAGCATAACTCATAACTAGTATTAAATCTAAATCACGATCTTCAACCACAGTCCTGCATTGGAGGCAGGACCTATCCTGCTTAATAAGGTAAGAGCAACCTTATCCCATGCAGACCATCAAATAATTTTACAGAATATTCTCCAAAATCCATGGGGTCTACAAAACCTGCCACAAATTCCAATGGGGCAGACTAAATTAATCCTATCTACAGAATATCCTATTCTATATCCAACAGTTGGCTGTTACAGAGGAGGGATAAAACCACAGGTCTTCCTGATCTCCACTTGTTTGGAATAATAAACAAGCAGCATTTTACCCTCTGTCACTGGAATTTCAATTAGCCATCCTAACAGACACACAAAATATGAGAACCTCCAAGTCCCTCTTCCTCCCTGCATGCCCAGAGCAAGGCCGTGTAATTATATTGTCTAGATCTGGCCCATAATGTTTAGGCTTCATTTTAGACAGCCATAGCTGTCGCATTAAACAATTATAATCTTTTGCAATACAGAACTACTTCATAAGCAGTACCAAAGTTACAGCAATAAAGCAGTAGTGACATTCAGATTAGATTTGCTTCCTGACTACATTAGGCCTAATTATATTCCTTTTTAATACCCCACACCATTCAAAGGACACATAATGACTATCATGAACATATTTCATGTCTCATGAATGAGCTTTTCCAGTAATGAGAGCTTGACTTACATATCTAAAACATGCACATTTGAACAGAAAAGCGTACCTTAAATGAAAAAAGCATATATATGCACAAATATATAGAAAAGCATATCCATATAAAATGAAAAGGCATATTATATGTACACCTACACATAGTCATTAAACAGAGAATAGATGGAAAAATTTGCACTTTGTTTTCTTTGAATTTCCTCTTTTCAACTCAGTATGGGGTTAGCTCTACGTCTACTCACATTGTGCAGTTCCTGCACAACTGTTACACATACGGAACTTGTGAGTGTAAACCATGCTCTGACTTGGTCTTCTCAAGCCTCACTTCACTCTGACAGTTCAAACTTTGAGGTAGATAGGATTAATTTTGATACTGGTAATGCACTAAATCATTTACTGGGCCAGTAACCAGAAAATTTATTCTATCTTTTGTTCATATGTTTTTAATTCATCTTATAGTTGAAACAGATGATTTGGCAGCACAGAGGCAGAAGAGAATTCCTAAAGCCCATGAAGGGGATGCATGTTTTTTCTCTACCATAGAACCTAAGAGCCCTTGCTTCCTAATGTATGGCAGAAATTATGGGCCAGGCAGTGGATGCTTCCCTGTATTGATTCAGCAGAAAAGTTAGTGAAGACACAAGCACTGTAAGCGTTCCTTAGTTTGAAGGTGGAATCAAACCCATAAATATATGATTTGTCATGGGATGACTAAGGGAAGGGAGAGAGCTAATTTCTTACCCCACAATTAGCTGGATTTCAAGAAGGTGCCAGGATTTGAGATGCAGGAAGCTTACAGCTCTGTTGCACTGGAGGTATAGCAGCTATCTCAGAAACACGGTGCTGCCTCCATTCACATTCACATTCCATTGAACGCTTGGGAAGCTCTTACAGGAGTGACCAGAAGCTCCTTTCATGTGAAAGCTTATTCTCAGTAGAAACTAATGGGCAAGCTTCCTTCTCACAAAGGAAATTTAATTTGACATGAGTAAAATTGTTAGCTGTCTCTGTGTGCATGTGTGTGCAAGACAGAGGAAGCACATAACTGTTATCTTAATAATATCAATCATTAAGATTTATTTCTTCTGATCACTAAATCTCAAAGTACTCCATGCACACAGAGAATGTGGTGTAACACAGGTTCTGTGACAGGCTTTAAATAAGAAAACAAATCACTGCCAGAATCTGGAATCAAAGTAAACATAGATAACCTCAGAAATTAGTTTACATGGACATCTCAGACAGTGCTTTAAACTCTCAATGATATCCTCTGCTTATTATACTGCACTTGTCAGACTTGTATATACAATGCCAGCCTGTATATTTTATAAGATCTTCTGGTTAGCCTATGGGTCATATTTTTCACAAGCGCAATTCAGAATGATGTTTATAGTGAAAGAGCTGTATACAGCATATGCAGGAAGTCAGCATCTCTTATACAGACATATTATTATACTTCCTTTTACAAAGTTGCATTAACCTCATGCCTGCTGATAGGTAACAAGTTGATGGCATAGCACATAAAGCCAGAACCAGTCTTCCCCGTCACCTTTCTCCCCTTCCAGTCTAATTAAACATTTTATATATTCATGCAGCTTTCCACATCTGCTGGTCAAAGTCTGGCTGCAGTAACAGAAATTACTTGACTTCTTCTGTATTATAAAAAAGCCCGTTCCAATTTTCATGGCAAAATATCAATCATAATAACAACAGTATTCTCCTGTAAAATGACTGTTCTAGTCACACCACTTATATTAGAATTTATTTGTGAAAGCCCCTCACAGGCAAAAAAGAAAAAAGAAAAATGTACGATTACTTTTATTTGTCTTTAGGAAATGTCAAGTAGCATTCGGCACACAGTATCAAGCAGCACCAGGGAAGCTAAGTGCAATGAAATGACCTCCAAAGAAAGTCAAATGGAAGCCTCTCAAACACAAGAGGTAACTATATCAATTAATAATCATGTCACAGGACAATTATACTGATGCTGATACATATCTGCTTTGCTTCTTCCTCCTTTACCACTTGGTACAGCAAGATCTGGATGTTCTGCTGATAGCCTCCCTCATTAGGCAGCGCATAACAATTTTTTAAAGGTGTTTTATTAAATGTTTTTAATTTATTATTGTTTTAAGATGGTAATTAATTAGGTTTCCATTCATATTCTTCTTTGGTGCAACATTTTAAATACAGTTGCAGAAGTATATACGTATTACACTAAATTCTGTAGTAAAGTGAAGGTTTTGTGCACAGGTTTCTCATCGTGAGCAAGTTACTCATGAGACAAAAATGGCTTCTACATTCCCTCAGCACACTGATGAAACAGGTAAGAAGTGGCATGAGAATAAAGGCTCACAAATGAGCAATGGCAAATGTCTTTACTCACACAAATGTACCACTCAGCATATGAACATGAAAATGCACATTGCTCTGAATTCTCAGCAAAGTGCATTCACTGACTTCAATGGGACTTAAGAAACAAGCTTAGAATTCAGTATGGAGAGGTGGCTTTTGCATAAGGAGGTGGTTTTAAATACGAAAGAACTGGGTATTTGAACTGTATGAAAACATAGGTAAACACTAGCCCATGTATATACAAAATTATGGATCAGAAAGGTTCAATTTATAGATGAACTGAACAGCCTTGCAGAATATGACCACAGTGTTAAGACATTGCTGCTGCTGCTGCTGCTGCTGCTGCTGTATTAGAATTCACACGTTATATTGTCCCACAGACCATAGGCAACCTTTAGCCCTGCTGCACCACTCAGGTATGACAAAACACTGATGACATATCCCTCAACAACTACTCTGTCGTTGTCTCTATGGATTTCTGTTCATGATCAAGTGACTCTCTAGACTTCTGCAAGGATAAGTACAATTTTTCTGATGTAACAATGTTTTATAATTCACTGATAAAGTCAATTTCATGAAATGCAGGGTGGAGGAAAAATTATCTTTTTTATTCTTCTTCCCATTGCAGTAATCAATGCAACTCAGAACGAAGAGCTCCCAAAGACTGTAACACAGATTTTAAAAGAGCAAATTGAAAGGACAGCTCAGGAAAAGGCTGAGTACCCTGACAAAGTGACTGGAACACCTGCAAAAGAAGTAAAGGTCTGTACTTTTAATAGGAGGGATCTTTATGCAAATTAGGAGTGGTGAAGTTGACATCGGTCCATCATATAGTCTAAATTTCTATTTTGACTAATCGTGATTAAAATGTAACCTATGAAAGTGGTGGGAATATATGGATTTTAGGAATTAAGTGCACGTAACGTAATACGAAGTATGTTAGAAGGCTCAACAAGTATTCACAGTATGTGACAAACTTGATAAAAACATCTACATTTCTGTCCTCCTCTGCTGAATAGTTTCCTCTTTCCCTGTTTTGAATCTGTAAGTATGTACAATTTTTGTCACCATTCCCAGAGGCATAGAAATTGTCACTTTCAGAAGAAATTAAAATGAGCATAAACCACACCATAACTTTACATTATGCTTATAATATAAAGTCTGCATTTGTTGCATCAAAAACTCCAAGACTGCTCAATCACCATTTTGCATCTCATATGAATTCCACATTTCTTTTCACATATATTGTATGGGGCAAATAGCACAGCTCTTAGTTCAAAAGACTGGTTTTATACATTCTCAGGCAAGAGCTGATGGATTGTGTCTTTCCCGACCTTATTATAATCCTATTGCTTGGATCCTTGCAGAACTAGCTTTTGTGAAGAATAGAAAAATTGTTTTATATGGTACTTTAGTTTAAAAAAACCCAGTGACTTTTGTTCCCTAAAGATGGAAAATATGTACCAGGAAATTACAGCATCTTCAACAGTTAGTTCATCTTCTACTGCTACTACTCAGCAAGTAGACTACAGGAAACTTCTACATCAAGGAAAAAAACAGGATGGAACTGCTACTTCTGCAATGATTTGCTCCAGATCCCATGACTACGGAAGCACAGAAAAATTTTCCACTTAGTTATGCAAAAGCACCACTGGAAATGACAGCAATTTCCCAGTCCACTGCACTGTCCAGCTTCCCAACAAAGCCCACCACCTCCATGGATCTGTACCCAAAGCAAAGCAATTTATGTGAACTAAGATGTTTATACAAATGTTTCCACTCACAATTAAGCAAACACTTAGAGAAACATTACCTGAATGAAACTTCTAATATTTTACCTGGTGAATGTGAAACATGGAGTATAATGTCAGATGTGCAGTAGGCTAGATATGGCTTTGCCTTCATCATTCAGATGTTCACATGACCAAAAAAACAATGCTCAGAGTGGTGTGAAATCCAGAGAGGAGAGATTCTCTCTATAAGTTGGGTCTTTGAGAACCAGCCTTTTGTTCCAATTAAAGGTGACCTCCAGACCCAGACAAAGCCAGATGTGTTGCAGACCAGGAAACCATTACAGGTGGAAATGTTAAATACATTGCTGACGTGTTTCATACCCAGCCTCTTGATGCACTGTGTGCACATGCTCCAGGCTCTGCAGAAACTATGGACGAGGCTCTTGCATTAGTTAGACAAGGTGTTTGCACAGTCACATGGATGTTTGAAATGCAGCTACTGGACTCTATGAATAAAAATTATCATGATGAGGAACAAACATCAGATGAAACTCACATCCAAGAAGTTTCTAGTGGTGCTGTAAAGGCTCTGAGGAACATGCTGGAAGCTCAGAACCTATATAAACTTGGGCAGCTCGACCCAGTGGATGTCCTTAACCTGTTGCATCTGAGGTCTGAGCTGATAGAGCTTAAATGAAGTGTGGAGAAGCCTAAAATATTTTGAACCTCAGCCACTGTCTCTTACCAGAGACAACTTTGATCAAAGACTGGAGAATGAAGCTGTCCATAGAGAAGACACTGAAAGTAAGTATGTCAGAATAGCACACTGTACGTTTGAAATGCAGCATTTATCTGTGACCAACAAAGACCTGGTGGAAATTAAAATGGTACATGGACTCTCTGTGGAGGAAAACATGCGTGGTGCTGTGTGCAGGGCAAAATAGTTAGTTGAAACACAGCCTTGGCACACAGAGGATTCAGAGGAATTAAGTCCAGCTAAAATATCATCACAAAAATCAAACAAGCAAGATCAAGGTCCCACAAAAGGTGCAGAAGCCCCTGTAACACCACAGCAAAGCATACTTTTCAATTCCAATTTTGATGGCAATGATACGCAAGTAGTACAAAAAATACGACACAGGAATCCAAATTGATCTCCATGAAGAGCAGAAGGCTGAGAAGCTGAAGACACAGGGACTGTTGTGAAAGCCTCTAGCTACTATCTCTTCCACCATTATGAAGATTAACACTACAAGAGCTATCCTGAGGAATTGTATAGATAAAAATAAAAATTAAAAATATATTAAAAATAGATATTAAAATTAAAATAGCATTATTGTTGTATTTGAGAAATATTAACATGCTAGAAAATGTGCACAGAGTGCACCTGACTTCTCATGCTTAAAATAAATGCAACATTCTCTTAACTGAGGCAAAATGTTGCCTGTACAAAATAAGCTCTAGAAATAAAATAATGGTCACGTTTTGTGCACATGCGTTTTTAGTTTATTAAAGCACAAAATGTGACTTAAGGCAAAGTGAACTATTTTTTGGTGAGTCTCCTGTTTGAGTAAAATTACAGAAACAGTTTAAAAATTAACATTCAATTTTAAAAATTTTTCTGCTACTTCCTGCTGGGTGATTTTACCAGTTGATACAGCCCTAATCTGAATTAAGGCAGTAAACCCATTTGCCCGATGTCAGAGTCCAGGTTTCACATCACTATGGAGTGGAGCCACTCAGTGTCCCTCAAAAAGCTGAGTCTGCTATTTATTTCAGATTGAATTAAACTTTTAAAATATATGAATATGTAGATATATATGAATATTTATATATGAAGTAAACATTGAAACTAAAACATTATTTCTTTCTCATGGTGCATATGCTACTTAAAAATTGTATTAAAATAGTATTTAGATTGCAAAGTTATGCCTTTGAAACTTAGAAAATATTACATATGCTATTGCATGATGAACATCAGTGTTCTCCCTATGTGCATCTATTTTGGGCAATGAATATGGATGGAATCCTGCAGGAAAACCAGATGTTACCATCACTTTAGTCATTTGAAATACATGAACAGAATGCTGATGCATGAACAGCAATGAAAATGTCAGAACAAAGCTAAATGCTCCTGTATCTGTATAACTCCTAAAGAGAAAGCTCTGCTTTAGGTTTCCCAGCTCTGTGCACTAAGAAGAGAAGGATGCTACCTCTGTTCATGCTAGGAGCAGAATTAAACATGAGTAACTTGCGATCCTGTAACATGAGGCACAATCTGAAGGTGGTCCAACAAAATACTTACTGTGGTGGGCTGGCCCTGGCTGGCAGCTAAGTCCACACCCTGCTCCTCCCTCCCTCCCTGCCTCCCTTCCCCACAGGGGGATGGGAGAAAGAATCAGAAGAGGAAAAAGCAAGAAAATCTGTGGGCAGAGGTAGAAACTGTTTAATAAGTGAAGCAAAGCTGGTGTGCAAACAAAGCGAAATAAGGAACCGATTCACTGCTTCCCATCAGCAGGTAGATGTTCAGCCACTTCCTGGAAAGCAACACCTCAACATGCACAACAGTTACTTAGACAAATGCCATAGCTCTCAATGTCCCCTCTTCCTCCTCCTTTCCCTCAGCTTTTATTGCTGAGCATGATGTCACATTGTGTGGAATATCCCTCTGGTCAGTTGGGGTCACTGGTCTTGGTTGTGTCCTTTCTCCACTTCTTGCACATCGCCAGCCTATTCGCTTGGGGTGGTTAGGGAGGTCAGAGTGGGAGGAATAAAAGGCCTTGACAGTCTGCAAGCACTGTTCAGGAAGAGCTAAAACACTGGTGTGGTATTAACGCTTTAGCCACAAATCCAAAACATGAGCTGCTATGAAGAAAATTAACAGCATCCTAGACAGACTCGGTATACTTAAGCATGTTAAAAGTGAGCAGAAATACCCATTACCAGTAGAATACTGAATTCTCTATATAGTCAAGACTCTGGATGGGATCTCTTCTATCTGGTAAATACTGATGATCTCAAACAGTAGATCAGCCTTTTCCCCACTGATTCTGTAGGACTGTTAACATGTGGTGGGTTGACCTGCCAGACCCACACCCAGCACTCTCTAATTCCCCCTCCTCAAAAAGACAGAGAGAGAAAATAGGATGATGGAAAAAAGGATAGCTCGTGGAACAAAACAAAACCAGGGAGATCACTTACCAATTACTTTCACAGGCAAACCAGACTTGACTTGGGGAAAATTAATTTAATTTACTGCCAATTAAAATAGATTTAGATGGTAAGAAACAAAGACAAATACCAAAACACTTCCTGCCCCCTTTTTGCCAGGCTCAAATTTACTCCTTCACTCCCAACTCTTCTATTTCCTTGCCCCAACACCAGAAGCACAGAGGGTCTGGGGAATGCAAGGCTGGGGCCAGTCCATACCAGCTCCTGTCTGCTGCTCCTTCCTTCTCACGCTTTTCCCCTGCTCCAGTGTGGGCCCTCCACAGGCCATAGTTCCTTCTGGGAATACCCACCTGCTCCAGTGTGGTGTCCTCCACAGGCTGTAGTGTAAATACCTGCTCTGGCGTCGTCCTCTCCACAGGCTGCAGGGAAATACCTGCTCCCTGGGTGTCCTCAACAGGCTGCAGGAGAATCTCTGCTGCAGTGCCTCCTCCCCTCCTTCTTCTCTGACCTTGGTGTTCGCAGGGTTGTTTCTCACACTTTTTTCCCTCAGTCCTCACTGCATGTGCAGTGTTTTGCCTCTTCTTGAATATGCATTCCCAGAGGCATCAGCATGGCTGAGGGGCTCAGCTCTGCCCTGGGGTGGATCTGCTGGAGCTGACTAGAACTGGTTGTGCCCAGCACCGGGCATCCCCAGCCTCTCCTCACAGAAGCTGGCCCTGCAGCCCCCCAGCTACCAAAACGTGACACCCAGTATATGATTACTTTTCATGAAGATGAATCTTGGCTCCACTATTCAGTGCTGGAAGTTGCTTTAAGATAAACTTATCTTAAATTCCCTCTTTGCTTTTCTCTTCTCTTGACAGTTGCCTTCTGAGGCACAAAACTATCAACTACCCAGCTAAATCGAGTATAACCACCGAGTGAGACAGTTTTTCAGGAGGTGTGTCACCTTTTTTCCCACTCCCAATTACCTTCTCCCTTTCTGTATCAGCTTGTGCCTTTCCTCTCCTCCCTCTTTACATGCAGAACACTTGAGTACCTACAAATATTAAGCTGAGTCCTTATGTTTGCCTCACACCTGCAACCACGTGCAGTCTGTGCCTAGCAAGGCAGAAGGCACTCCACACCTGCCTGGCCTTGCTTTGTCAGCCTGTTTGGAGACCAAGCTGAGGCTACATTTGAGGTTTTCTATTTCATGGCCAACAATTCTCCAGGGGAATTTTTTTGTTGTTTTTACCAGTGTTTTATTCTTTTTGCAAGTTCTACATGATTTTGAAGATATTTTCAGTGTTTTTCACAGCTCTCATTATGCGCACTAGAGATATGTGGCAACTAAAGCTGTAGTTATAAAATCTACATCACTTTCTGTCTTGATTTATGAATTGCTAAAAAATCAATACCACCAGGCAAAACAAAACCAGACAGAATTCTGAAAGGGGCCAAATTTGCTGCTGATGTCAAGGGGTATTACTGATGTCAATGGAGATATATTTATACAAGCAATTATGTGGTCCACCCTGTTTGTATTTGTATGCTAGTATGGTTTTCACAGCAATTCAGAAATCAAGACAGAAGAGCAGCATGCATTTTTCCAAGCCCAACAGATTGTCCATTATTTCCTTCTGCTCCTTACTGATATGAACTAAACCTTCTATTCATGCTTTGTACTTTACAGAGAAGTAGTTTCCTTTATAATTAATTATACTTCATAGAAGAAAGGATTTGATATAGTTAGCTAATGTAATTGTAGCTAACTCAATCTTAAAAATTCACTGAAGAAAGTATGAGGTCTGAAAATGGAAATTTTAAAAATCACAAATAATTATGTCTGTAGTGTATCTGGACCATGGGAGTGCACAGTCTGCAGGTTACCACAGAAGTGAAACTCCCTGATGTGCATTTGTCATGATTAAGCAAAACTTCCTCATCAGAATTTCAAGCATCTACCCCTGTTTATTGATCTCTAAATCACATTGTAGATTCAAAGATTATACATACAGTATACTCAATTCCACTTATACTAGTAAACCTTTTATTATCCTGTCTCACTTCACAAAATAAATATTTATTACAAATAAATGGTAAATATTGTACCTGATGTAGTGAAGTGAGTAGTCCTTTCGAATATATGGATTTCTGAAAAAGGAAAGGTGAGTAGTTTTTCACTTTCAAAGTTGAACAAAAACAAAGCCTTAAAATTGACAGCTGAGATACCAGTTAATGGAAAAAGAAAACTACAGTTTTAACAAAACGTAACGACTGATACAGTTAAAAATAAATCATAATATGTGGCTTAAACTAACGAGTAACTTTTTAATATGCTGTTCTAGAAACTACTGATTCCTGAAAATGAAACGTGCAGACTCTGTCAACAGAGAGTTTACCCAATGGAATGCCTAGTTGCTGACAAGCAGAATTTTCATAAATCATGTTTCCGATGTCACCACTGTGGCAGTCAATTAAGGTAAGAAGTAACTGCATGTTCACACATAGAACTCTACATTTCAGTATAAATACAGCTGGTGAAATTATTTTCAACTGGGCTATTCAGCCTGTAGGATGTTGGGTTGACAGAGAGGTACCCCGGGTTCCCCTTTTCTTCACTGCTATTGACATCTGCACTATGATGTGGAACAAGTCCTTTAAATTCTCTAAAGAACTGCTTCATCCCAGTACCTTCCAAATTACCCTGCATATTACTTCCTACTGACTGTTCCAGACCTTCAGGTGAGCTCATGAACCAGAAGCAGCAGACACAGAAACTTGGGTAGAATTTAAGACATCTGAACACAGACCAAATTTCCTCTTACTTTTCCTCATCCCTAAAATTAATGATGATGGTTCTCTGCATTAGCAAACTACTCTTGTAACCTTTATATGAAATATAGTATTTATTGCTCTATCAGACTGCAAAGGCTAACAGTTCTGATTTTAACACCTTTGAGGTTAGTTATACACGTTTCCTTTACTTCATTTAGGAGCAGAATCAAAATATAATTAAACAAAAATTTCTACAATTCTCACAAAGGTTAAAGAAAATTGGCACTGTATTTTCTCCACCTATTTTGTAGAAAAATAGAGGATTTGGTCTTTAATATGATGAAGAAAAATGTCTCAACAACCCTGAAGTGCTATGGAACATCCCTATTTGAAGCTTATGCTGTGCAACTGAATACGTTTATGTTCTTTCTTAAATCACAAAGCATGACTCTTCTTCAGATGGACTTTCAAATTGTATGGGAATTTGCAATTATAGGTTTTAGATACTTTTTTTTTTTGGTGGGTCTGTTTGGTCATAATTGGCCAATACATTGAATTTGCTCTCTTTTTGCTCTTACTTTCTTTATATATACTGTCATTTAGGGGTACTTGAAATACCACATAAAGTATAGAATTCATGGTAAATTTATGATATGTAAAAGTATAAAACAAATTTTCTTCCATTTGGCAGCTTGGGAAATTATGCATCTCTCCATGGAAAAATATATTGTAAACCGCATTTTAAGCAGCTTTTCAAATCAAAAGGAAATTATGATGAAGGTTTTGGACACAAGCAGCATAAAGAATTATGGACTTATAAAGATCAGTGTAGCTCAGCTGGCAATATTCATGCTGAAGAAACAAATCCCATTAATAGCATACCTGTTGATCCTAAACCAGTTACAGAAATTGATCAAGACTTGTATTCAGGTACTGAAGGCACTCATCCTGATATTTTGGATAATAATCTGAAAAAATCCACAGAAAGAGGTAAATTAAAGATGACGTGGCCTCCTTCAACAGATGATGCAACACCTAAGAAAACATTTTCTATTGAAGAAGTGGCTAAAGTAAATAAGCCAAAGTGGCCACCAGAAGGCTTTGCACAAGAAGATTCTAGTTTACATACAAATAAACCTCCGGGTGATAAAAAGGATCCTCATGAAAAAAATACTGTGAGAGAGCAAAATAGAAATAACACTGCAAATGCACAACAAAATCAACACTCATCCTTTAGCTCTCCGTCTGAGAAAGAAGCTCCAAATATCTGTAAAGCAAAGAAAAATGAAGCAGGCAATAAGGGAAAAGATGAGGAAGCTGGGACGGTGCAAGGTAAGCTGAATAAAACAGGAGGATCACAGAATAGGGAAGAAAGTGGAAAGAATATTAATGAAAGTGATAATGTGATTGTGCATAGTGCTGGGAAGGAGCGAGAGAAAAAAATTAATGAAACTGGTGATTCAGAAGTTGTACAGGTTACTAACATTGATGATGTAACAGTACAAAAGAATCAGAAAGAATTCAGCTTGAGTAACAATAACAATAACAATAATGCCACTTTGTCACATCTAAACAACTGTAGGCAGGAAACAACTCTTTCAGGTACGTCTAACCCAATGACAGCATTAAGCCATGAAATTTGCAAAAGAATATGGGAATTATGATACAGAACTGAATGATATTGATTCCTGTCAAGAAAGTGAAATAACTGAAATGACAAAGAATGACATAAACACAAGCTTAGATTTACTGAGCTCAAGATATACAGCTGCTCCATCATTCCAAGGTGAGAAAGTCAAGTTCAAACAGCTCACTGTAGAAGAACAAATTAAAAGAAATAGATTTTATGATGAAAATGAGTAGAACAGCTGAGTGATGAGCTACATCTGTCACTCGTTATAAAGTTTGTCATAAATGGGTATTTCTTCAGGCCAGTTATCTTAGTCCTTCTTGAATAACTTAATATTCAGAGATTACATAAGAAAATTTGTATTATATACTGTCAATTACTTGTACTTTATTTACTTCGTTTATATTTAAGGCAATGAAGATGTAGAAAATAGATTTTTTTCAGTCTGTAGTTAAAACAACTTGTCTCTCTACAGTCCTGAAATTTGCAAGAAATATTTTACTATATGACTGTCCTGCAGAAACATAATAATTCAATTTTACTGTTTATCATTTGTAACAAATTAAGATGTAAAGCACCTGGTGTGCACAAAACAAGAGAAAATATTTCAATGTGTTTTTTCTTATGTATTATTATTGTAACTGAGCTGTTGCTCCATGACATATTATGTACATTTGTTGTGTTAGCTCATACTAGAAGATTTGGGGTTTGGTGGGGATTTTTGTTTTTTGTTTTTTTTTTTTTTTTTTTTTTTCCCAATATCATGCAATACTTGGTTTGAAATGGCCTCATTATTGAATAGTATCCACAACTGGTTGGTTAATAGTACTGTTTTGCTATATTTCTAGAGATGCTACTATGGCATTATATTGTATGACATAAAAAAGAAGTGTGTAAATTTTAACACAGGATAAAACCAAACATTCTAGGCATAAATGGAACAAGGTTTGGGAACACTGGGTAATTAAAACTAGTGGTTGTTTCAGTAACTAATTCAAAGTAATTTTAACTGAAGCAGCTCTCCAGTTTCATATTTAAACCTGTACAAACTTACACAGATTTAGCACTTTTTTTCTTTAACATGTTTATGGATTAACATTTGCTTTCTTACACTATTACAGCTTGCATGAAACGGCAACATATCATTTAACTGTTGACAATGCATAATAAAAAAAAACACTTTACAAAAAAGTATTTTGTGATTTTTTGCAATATGAATATATACATAGGATTCTTCTCAAACAGTTTGTGAAATTCTTCTTGTGATAATTCCTTTAGAATGTCAGCATGAAAGGGATGGATAATCAAAATAGTTTTCAAAATAATTTCTGCAGTATCTGACAGAGAGGAGTGTTTGGAGTAATTTACACAAAAGACAGGTTCATGCTAAAACATTTAAGAAAATTTTGAGAACAAAATATCTGTTGCACTACAACTCATTGCCCAAGCAAAGGGACTGTGGGTAAGTGGGATACCCGCATATGACTCTTCTTCTATACCTACACAGAAACAACTATAAAGTACATATACATGAGAAAAGCTATACATAGTATTTCTTCCACAAGTGAAGCCTCCTCTCTATGCATCATGCCTCACTCCTCCGAAGTATTCTAATGAAATGCAGAAATATAAAAAAGACTCCTTAAAATGAGTGTTCTCAGAAGAATAATTAGCCTTCACACAAGGCAATCAGATACAACTGTATTTGATAACTTTGTTAAAAAGAATTAGCCTATAGGCCATTGTGAACATTTTAAAATTATTTTTGCAAGATCCCTCTCTCTTATTCCTTCCCCTGCCTCATGTGGCTATAACTGTGATAAATTATTTTTACATTCCCAAGAGATTAGTAAATACATCTAAATGACTTTGTTTGCTTTTTTGAGTAGATAACTCAGTTGTTACATAACACAACTAAAAATAACATCAACAAAATTCCTGCTAAGACAACAAAAAAATTATAAGAAAATCCAAGCCTGAAGAAAATCAATGGAATTTATCTAAAATATTTAAAGCTCTACATGGACTAAACTTTTAAATCTCCCCCATTCCCCCAAATTTCTTATTAGGTATACGATCAGTTTTGATTGTATTAGTTAGGAAAGAGGAATGATCTTGAGGATGAAATGGTGGGTGTTTGTTTATGTGCACACACATAGCTGTGATCATATACAAGTTAATAATTCAAGTGAAAAGCTAGTATGGTTGCAACATTTGTATTTGAACTACAGTCCTGTGCCAATTTTCATTCTCCTGCATATTCTGATTAATTCAAACTTGTATCCTGCAGTTTAGAGGAGTGACAGTTATCAGTTATGATAACAAAAATTCATTTACACCAAAAAATAAATGTCTCTGAAAATATCCTTACAAAATACAGACATTTTTGCTTCCCCTAAACACAATAAAACACCACCAAAAATGAGTCACAGAAAAAGCATGTTCCCTTTGGCCAGCTAGAGATGACTGAAATAAAGGCTTTGACGAAACAGTAGAAAAAATCAAGACTACAGGGAAATTTTTACTCCCAGAGGGAAAAATATGTAAAGTCAACATACATAGATGACATACCATATAGGGTAAATCTCCTTGGATGTTCCATGATCGTGATTCTGCTTAGAGCCTTCCTCCAGTGTATTAATTAGCTTTGCACTCTCTTCTCTCAGTGGGTGGCCTTTTTCCTTCCTCCAGTAGTGAGGATGAATCTTAAGAAAAAACTAAACAATATTGCATAATTATTTCTTTGAAACACAAGTTAGGTGTCCCATCACACTGTTTTGGAGTTCATATGTAAGTCATAAGGATGACACTCTGTAAACCTGTTCAATAAAACTAATAACCATGAGTATAAAATATTGTAAAGAATGTAAATTATCTGAAAAAAAAATGAAGTAGAAGAGTTCTCCAGAACTTCAGCCAGAAGCTTAGAGAAGAAGTAATCAGAGCCACGGTAAGGCTGGAACTCAGTGAGATGTGTGTTTGTCTTACTCCCTTTTCCATAGAAGTCAAAAGAGATGGGAGATAGTGTATGCGTGTGTCACCCTAACATATACATACACCACCACTACAGAATTCATATTCTGGAGAGAATGCATATAGCAGATGAAAGTGAAATCAGGATAAAAGCTGTAGATAGAAAGTAGCAATTTTACAGATTTTCTTTAAACGAAATGCTAAATGAATATTAATTTCATGGCTGCCAAAATGCCTCATGCATTTTGGTGAAACCATATGGATTCAGTGCAGACAAGGAGCTGGTCTTTATGGTTTTAAAAAAACTACCATCCATTAGAGCTGTATGTTTGTCAGAGAAAGTTGTTATTCTGAGTTTAAATATCTTTAAATTAACCTCTAGGCTTTCTAAGTGTTAGTTCTCAAGTTTAAATAATGGGTCATCAGTTTGTCAAAGTCCCATTCTGTGAGGAGAGGCTTGATGGCTCCCATAGGAATCATGATACTGAAACTGCCATTCTCTCACCTCTGGTTACTCCTAGGTTTCACCCCTTAGCTCATGGGCAGGGTACTTAGCAACGCCTTGGAACAGGTCCTTATAGTCATGGAGGGCAGAGTTGATCGATTTCCAGCACAGATGCAGCCAAGCACTGTTTAATGCCAAAACTGCACTGACAAGTAGCAGTGAAATGAAATTTCTCCAAAACATTATTTAGTACAGGAGACTTGCAGTCTCAGAAGCCTATTTTCACTAGGTATTATTGGCTAGCGAAGATGTTGCACTGCTTTTAGAACACAGCAGGGTTCATGTATTCTTCTATACTCAAAAGCTCCAATTAGAAAGATTAAAGAGCCTGATTTAATGTCTTGTTAAGGAGCTTCTGAATTGCTGGGCCAGCACTGGACTTTAGAGGACTTCTAACTTCACAGTCCCTTTGCAACTTTATTAACATAATTAGCACGAAGACTTACTATGAAATACTTAAATTGGTTTTATAGATGCAGCATATCAGCTGATCCCTTTGGAGTCTTTGTAGAGTCAGTGGCATCCTCAAAACTATAGAAGGACCTAAATTACACTTTTATTATACTGCTGAAGTGAACTCCTCCTAGGTGAGGGACTTGCTGTAAGCAAATGCTTGATTACTGCAAAAAGTGTACTTACCTTGTATGTTTTCTGTTAAGTATTTATATCCTTCATGCATATTAATAGGCATACCTGCACTAGTATCTCAAAAGACACAGTGCTCAGCATGGACATTAAAATGATGCTAAGGATCTGCTTTATTCTAACACAGAACATTTCTTGCAATATCCCTCCCCTAAATAATTATAGTTCAGGCCTTATTTTCAAAGTGCAGTATAATTGTCAGAATTACTTATATAAAATTTGGGTCACTTCAGTCAAGTACACCTCCAACTGTTAGGTATAATTGCAAAAACATTAACTACCCTTGGTACACTCACGAAAACAGGAAAACATGAAGTAAAAAAGAGATGGATTAAAACCTTTGTCTCTTTTCATGCTTTCAACCATTAAGAGGCATCTAAGTTAAATCCTTTGGGTGAACTTTACTGACTTTCACAAGCAGCATTTCACCTTGTATGTGGGTTACATTTGATGATTTTGACATGAAAAGCATTTTTAAATGTTTTAAAGAGAGGAACTGTGTTAAAATGGGTTTAGGAACATAATCAGACTGACCTTACTTTTGGGCTTTCTAAAACATTAAATTACAATTTAACCATGAAAGATCTGAATTCTCAGTATAGCCCTTAAACAAAAATTAAGGCAGCTGTGTACTGCTTCAGGAAAAGAGGTGAAAAATTCAAAGCCTTACTGCTCCATGGACCTATTTCCTATACCTTCCTCACCTCCCCCTCTCTTAGGGTAGGGTAGGGGGGAGGGTAAAAAAGAATAAAGTCTTCACATGTATTATGAATGTGTTTTTCATTAACTGAGTACATTACAATTTCATTAAAAACAGACATGAAAAATCTACTACACATTTGCAGCAGATGATTTTCAAAATCTCATAATCTGGTTAAATATATATATAAAAAAAAACCCTCCTACAAAAACCTCAAAGGGACAGCTACATGATGACAGCTAATTTCAAACCCTTTGGGGTCTTG